TAGATATGAACGTGGATGTGGGTGATCTAATTACAATAACTAAACACATAAAAATCACTCAATCAAATAATCTACATAATTAATCAACTAATATCCAAAATTTATCAATTTAAAGATCAAACCCCAAATAAAATCATCAAGTTGTACATCTAATTAGTCGTTTGATTATCTTAAGAAGAAACTTAATAAATCAATTAGTTACTGGTTAAATTAATTAAAATAATCAAAGAGAGAAAAATAAAAAATAAAGACAACACAAGAGGGGGTAAAAAATAGCAATGTAAGAGTGTGTTAATAAAAGAGGCCCAAGTTCACTCTCTTCTAAAACTCTAGTCCAAAATAAATAGAAATAAAGTAAAACAAAATAATAGTGAAAATAATAAAAACAAAAATGAGAGAAAGAAGAAGAAAACTGAGAGGGAAATGGTGCATATCTTAGGCAGAAGAGAACAATTTTTATTTATAAAAAAAAGTCTTAATCCATCTCTGACACATGGCATATGCATAAAATAAATGAAAGAAATACTATGCGCTCTCTCTCTCACACAATCTTGGTTTGGCTGTGGAAAAGTGAAACAGGACCAAAAGCTTACTCCTCACCACCTTTCCTTCTCTCTCGCGGATACTCTTTATCTCTGTTTTTCTCTTGTGTGGATCTCTCTCAATCTCGCGATCTCCTTCTCCCTCGCCTTTTATTCTTTCCGTCTCTCGCGCTCGACTTTTTCATTTTTGTATGGTACTATGCGAGTTTCTCTTCTTCTCTTTTCTTGTGGGTTTTAATGGCTGTTGGTGTTGTAAGATTGGGGTTTAATGGTGGAAAACTAACAGTGAGGTTTATTGTTCACATATTTGTGAAGGTAAGCAGATTCGACGTGGTGATGGCTTATGGTTTCGACATGGTGGTGGGTGTTTTGGTTTCGACATGGTGGCGATGGTTCATGGTCGTTGTTGCATGAAAAGTGAGGGAAGTATGTGTCAAAATGTGTGAGGGAAAGAGTTTATCAGCGAGGGTGGCGAGATTGTTGAGGGAGTATTATTTTCTCAGTTTTTTTGGTTTTTGAATCGTAAGAGATGGAGATGGGATGGTGTGTGCGAGTGTTAGCGTTGTACATGTTGTTGACCAAAAACAACAAGCTGCTTGAAAGTGTTTAATGGTAGGTGGATGAAGCGAAAGTATGAATACTAAGGGTGGAGGTATGTGAACAAGTAGAAGAAGTTGTTGGTAAAACTTATTGATGGTGTTTATGAAGTTCATGGTTTATGGTTGAAGGTTGTTTACAATGAGAAAGGGCTCTTGTTATTGTTGGTGTGTTTAGAGCTTGGTGTAACATGTTGTGAACCTTGTCACTTGAAGTGAGTTTTTCATGGAGTTATTTTTGCTTGTTTTGGGATCTGCAAACAAATGTGAGGTTTTCGTGTGTGTTAGGTTGATGTGAGGAAAGAGTACAAAGAAGTGCCTTGGAAAACAAAGAGAAAAAGAGTGAGTCAAAAGGTGGGTGTATGAAGCTCTTTACATGAAGGTTGGTCTTTGTTTATGAGAAAAGAAAATGACGAAATGATAAAAGGAAGAGAGGATATGTGGGAGGTGTAGCTTGTATTATGTTAGGAGGGAGAGGGTATTATTTTGTAGTGTTTTTTTAAGGTGCCTCTAAAGAGAAAGATGAATATATGATCCTTTTTGTACTATTCACGTCCAAAACCAAGAAAAAGAGAGATTGATTTATTTGCTTTTGTTTCCTTTTAATTGAAATGAGATGAGTGGTCTGGATCATTTCGTTTCATGTCCCAACCATGTCAACCAATATAATACTAGGTATCCCAAAAAAATGGAGCATGACAAACTATCTTTTCAAAACTTAGGTATTAAGTGTTACCAAAAATAAATAAAAACAAAACAAATATTATATATATATATATATATATATATATATATATATATATATATATATATATATATATATATATATATATATATATATATATATATTAAAAAACAGTAATTAAATTAAACATAAACTTAATTAATAATAAAAACTTAAATTAATTAAACCTAATTAAAATAAATAATTATTTAACTAAAAATTAAAATGAAACCGATTAAAAACGAATAATCATTCTAGTATCAAAGTGCTCGAAAAAATAAAATGAATGCACAAGAATGATTATCTTGAAATAAATGAATCGAAAAAATACGGCGTTTGGTCAAATTTTGAAATAAATTTTTTCTGGTTAAAAGGCTCAGACCGATCAAAATACGATCGAAAAGCAGTCAAAAAATTAAAACGAGCACATCAGGTTAAACTACTCAAAACGAGTTAATACAACTGATGACTACAAGTTCAATTTTAAAACTTTTTCGTCCACTGATTTTACGCACAATTGACTTTTAGTTTGACCAATTTGACAGTAAACCCAACTGTTTATTCTGACTGATAATTCGGCCATTGTGCGATATGAAATGTATGTTATGCTATGCATATGATGCAGATGTTATGCTAATTGTATTGATTCAAATATTCAGGGTCAAAATTGGGGTATGGCAGCGTGTTCTAAATCATTTGACCTTGTTTTCTCTATGGTTAAGGTGAAAGCTTTGTCATGAAACTTATTGTAGTAGTGAAGGTTGTAGCTGTCAAAGAATGAAGAGGAGCAGGATATTATAATCCTATAGAGTACATGAGGCTAATTGGATCATTACAATACTTGTGCAATACGAAATCGGACTTGGCGTATAACATGTGCATAATGAGCAAATTTATGGGAAGCCGAAGGCATCAATCACACTTGGTAGCAGTAAGAGAATTCTAAGATACGCCAAAGGTTCAATTGATTGTGAACGTTTGTTTCCTGAAACAGACTGAGATTGAAGTTGCAAATTGCTTAGTTATATTGACACAAACTAATGTGGTGACAAAGATGACATGAAATTCATAGTTGAATACATATTTATGGAGAAACACCGGTCTCTTGGCGTTATAAGAAGGAACCAATTGTGACAATCTCTTTCTGCGAGACTGAGTGCATTACAGTGTCTATATGTAAGTATCAAGTTGTCTGGTTGATGAATTTGATGATGGAGTTATGCAACAAAGAGTATGAAACTATGACATTAATGATAGACAATGTTCCCGTTATAAACCTTGCCAAGAATCATATTGTACATGGGAAAAGCAAGCATATAAATATGAGATTCCACTACTTGGAAGAGCTTGTGAGTGAAGGAAAATTAAAGTTGAGGTATTGCAAAAGTGAAGATCAAATGGCCGATTTATTAACCAATGAAGTGTCAATTGAAATGTTCAAAAGGTTCAGGAAACATGTGAGTATATAAGACTTGAATTAAGGTAATGTGTTGAAAAAAGTAATTCAAGTAAAGCGTAAGTGGTTACGTCGGGCCTATAACTAATTATCATATCAAACAGAATGTTCTCGTAGCCGATTATTACTTTTGCGTAAGCGGTTACCACTCCACTGAAAGTAACATTTCATAACCGGTTCCAGAAAATACATAACCGGTTATATGAGCTTAAAAAGTTTATTTAGTTGTTTAGCTTTTTATAGTTAAATTTATGTGTAATTGTGTATAAATACTCCACTTTAAATTCTCTTTAATCACTTACCATCTCCACACTTGTTCATCATTATGATTGTATTTTGCCTCAACATATTATAGCTTAATAAAACATTTAAAATTGTTTGTATTGCTTGGAGATAAAAATTGTCACAATTCATAAAAGTTTTTATTCGAAAATTGAAATATTCAAAATTGAGATAAAAAGAAAAATGTAAACCATGAAAAGGTTTCCTTGTCCCATCGAAAACCCAAATTCATCTTTCTCATATTGATCAAACACAAGATAGAAAGCGGGATTGAATGACATTGTTTGTATTGTTTGCTATTTACTCTTTCTTTTCTCTTTTCCATAACTTTTTCTATAGGACTTCCGTTTTCAAATTTCTCAAAAGAGTTTTGATGTTTGATTTGGATTTAGAGTTTTGGGTTGTAAGGGATTCTTGAGGAAAAACAATTATTTTTGAAGGAATTATTGCCAAAAACTTTGATTTTTTAATCTTGTTGAAAAAGAGAAAGTAAAGTTAAGAATTTGTAGATTTATGAAAATAGATGATGAATAGGAAAATCTGAATTTGTGGATTAAGAAGGTTATGATGAAATTTTAAGTTTGATTTTGAAATTTTGGGTGTAGTGATGGATATTAATTTGTACTTATTTGATGGTAAGTACTAAAAACTCACACATCCATGAAAATCAGAGTTCGAGCCCTAGTATTAACATCCAACATATCAATATCGACTTTTTTCCGTTTATCTTTTAATTTATTTAACTTTAAAATATAAGTCTACTCTTTACCTACCTTTATAGAAATTACTTAACATATAGTAATAACTTAGATTTCACGAAATATTAAAGAATCTTATATCACAAATAAGTGGAGATATATCTTGTTAAAGAATCTTATATCACAAATAAGTGGAGATATATCTTGTTAAAGAACATATCATGTAACTTATATATAGATTTTCATAACATTACTTTTATAGTATTATTAATCACACAAGTAACACAATCCAAAAAACCAATGCAACAAATCACAGATTGATTGTGCAACAGAGTCAAATGCATTGATGCAACATATGGTTTTCTCTTCACGCGTATCGCCATCGCAAAACAACCGAAGATACTGTACACCGATTAATCCTTTCTAATACAATTTTTCATCATGTCAAACATCTCAGATAGATAAAGATGAACTAGAACTACAGAAATGTGAAACTATGGTGCTACCATTTTTTCTCCTAACTAGCTTATAAATTATCAGCACTGCAAAACTAGTTGCGGTGCTTACATAATCGACATACTATGGAGAAGTATTCACAAATACAGCATGGAAAATGGAAAACTACCATTTTCAAATGCATAACATAAAGGTATAAATGATTTTTATGGAGCACTAGGACTTTCGATTGGTGTCGTGTCGGTGTCATGTGCTTCCCGGTGCATCACTTCCTGCAGCTGGTTTGCGATTCAAATATCGAATAACAGCATCTTCAACCCTGCTCAAGTTGTTAAACAAAATATGAAATTTTATAATGAATGGTAGTAGATAACTAGATATAGTAAATGAATATATTCATAAAACTAAGCAGAGATTGCTTTCAAAACTTACCATGGTTGGTTGAAAAAATCTGATTTACGCTCTTTTTCAGCGCTGCGACTAGGTTCACCGGCTGCAGTTTTCAGATCCCGGCTTTGAGATTCAATCAAGGCATCAATAAATTCTACGGGAGATTGACTGAAACCAAGAAAAAACGCCCGTCTCCTTCGGTGCTCGTGAATTTTTCTGATGATTCCACATATCGCTTCATCACATGTTTCAATCTCTTTATTCTTTTCGACATTAGCCAATAGTGCAGACAGCTCTCTCTGAATTGGAAAAGGAACATCAACAGTCACATCATAACAACCACTCCCAGCTGGACTATTTCCCGAGAGTTTGATCTGATGCTCCAACATTATAGGCTGTGGAGGGAACAAATGCTGCGATATTTTTTGCGAAACTGTTGTGAACTTGACTTTTTCTTCCCCAAATACTTTCTGAAGAGCTTGATCGCAGTGAAAAAAAGAAGGGTCGTTAGGGTTTTGCAGTTTCCTAGCCTTCACATAGTGCCAGATTGCAGCAATAATTCTCGGACGGGTATCGACCTCGATACCAAGAACTTCTGTCAATGCTGTCGAAAGCTTAAACTTCTCGGGTGCATAATTCATTTCCAGCCGTATATTCGCCGTAAATTCTTTATCCCCTTTCCTCTTCACTTCAAAACCTTCTTGAGAAGCAGGTGATCGAGAATTCTCCCACACAATAATGTTGTTATCGGGATATTGCCTCTGATCCAAAGAAATTATTACTTTTTTGAAAAAAGTCGAGAACTTAGGATACATCGGAGACTGCTTCTGAACTACTCCTGGCTGATCAGGGTCAACACCATCTTCCAATATCCTCCCAACTATCTTCAATGTCCACGTTGGAGGCTCAGCGTTAGGCTTCTTAGGAATCGTGCGAACTTGATTGGCAAATGTATTAAATACATAGATCCGAAGAGTTTTCTGAATACAAGGCGGATTTTTCAGCGCTTCCTGGATATCAACCTTCTTTCTAGAAAGCGCAGAATCAACACGAGACTCAAACTCGAGAAGCTGTGTATAAAGAGCAGATTCAGGCAGGATAGCAGCCACCCTTTCCTGCATCTGTTTCTCAGGAAGCTTCTGCTTCTTCCTCCTTGCAGCAGGTGTGAGTTCCATCGGTCTCAACGGTGAGAAATTGTTTTGAGGCAAAAATCCAACCGGCCGCATAGGTGGCTTCAAAGGACCTCGTTTCGCAGGCGTAGACATAGAAGACGATGAAACCCCTAAATTCCCCAAACCACCAACCTGATTCTGGTTAAGAGTCAACCCTTGAGCTTGCAAATGAGCCTGGAGTTGAGCATGAGCTACCGCCGCAGCTTGCGCATGAGCCTGAGCTTGAGCCTGAGCTTTAGACTGTGCTTGAACAATAGCATGAGCTTGAGACTGTGGAAACTGCCCTTGAAAACCGGCAGCAATTTGGGCTTGGGCTTGGGCCTGGGCTTGCGAAAACACAGGGTTTGTAGACATAGACGGGGATTGCATTCCAGCATTTCCATAGGACGATGAAGACCCACCAATGCCCTTGGAAGGGTTATTATTGTTCACAGACATCACTATCCAAATCTAATCAACAAAAAGGGACAAACCAAAAAAAAAAAATCTTCAAGACCCAATTAAAAAAAATCTTAACTTTAAGGAATAATCTCTATCACGAACCAAGTGGGGATACATATAACACAAACAAATTCAAATTCAAATGTTGAAATTCATAAACTTATAAAAAAACCCTAACTTTGCGGTCTAAAAATGGAAAGAACGAAAAGAACTAACACTGATTTGAATCAAGTAGTGTTTACCTCGATCTGGAATTAGGAGGATCCACTGATTGAAGAAGAAGCCGAGTACAAACACACTGTGATCTCTGTTTACATATAATTGTTTGCAAATTAGGGTTTAGTAAGAGATGAGCTGAATGAAGATTCGATAAATGAAAATTGAGAAGAGAAATTGGATAAATTGAAGAAAAAGGTGAATTTTTTTTTGAAGATGATGAAACTTAGCTAGGGTTTGGGAAATTGCACAATTCGAAAGGGTCAAAGTTTAGTCAGTGTAAAGGGTTCGGTTCTAAATGCTTTACTCTTTAAACGGTGTCGTTTTTGTCCGGCAAGTTCAGTATGTTCTAACCAAATAATGTAACAAAATTTGAATTTTTTACCCACATCCCCATATTACACCATAATATTTATTAATATATCCAATATTTTAAATTAATTTCTATTCTACCCATTTTTCAAACAAAAAATCTTTTTCTTATAAGGGGGCGCTATCCCTTATAGAGTCACCCTTATAATTATAAGGGGGGCGCTATTCATGATGGAGTCACCTTTAAACGAATAAGAGGAGGCGCTATCCCCTTTGAAGTCCCCTTTATTTTATTAAATTTATTTAATTATTAATAAATCATATATTATATATTTATAATATTTATTATTATTTTATTTAAAAATTTCTTGTATAAATAGACGAGGCTTGTATATTCTTTCACTCTTAAATTAACGTTGTTTCTTACAAATTTAGCATAGTGAATCATGTATCTTAGAAGATATGGACATGTCATTTTCTCAAGAACCAAACCTCTGATAAGGATGTTGTTTTGGAACATCCAAAGTTTAGAGCAACTATGAAGTAATTTGAATCGCTGGTTAGAAGGAGACATTTTAGATGGTGAAAGAATTAGAAGTATTGAAAGACTTGTTTCGTACTTCTCGATTACAGATGGAAATATACGGCGGGAGTGGGTGCGAATTAAAGATGACAGCGAAGTTAGGTCTGTGATGTTTGAAACTGATGATATTACTTTGATTGTTGTTATATCTTAGTTTATGGTGTAATAATTCTTATATTTTTAATGATTTGCGTTGTTGCTTTAGAAGTATTTCAATTTCTTTTTTGGTAAACAAAAGTTGTTATAAATATTAAATTCCAAGGTTATACATTTTTTAATGACCAAAGTAAATCTATCTAGAACTTGTTCCAACATTTGGACAATGTTTCCTTGTATGTCCGGGAAGACGACATATTCCGCACAATCTTTCCATTTTCTCAGTTGTATCCATTTCAGTTCTAATTCGCGTGCTTTTGGAGCAGACATTTTTATTTCTTCTCATATTTTCGTTGTGGTAAATTGTGTCTCCATGATAGGTTGGCCAATAGTCCTCACTAGCTACCACTGGAAAATTGTTATTGTAGATACCGAATAAGTTCACGACCTTGTAAACTTTTGATAGTTGCAAGAATGGATCCTGACGAACACTGGAACATGCGACAATGACATGTGAACAAGGCATGCAGAAGGTTTGAAACTTTCCGCAGTCGCACCAATTTTTATGAATTTCCACCTTGTAGTGTCCCATTGGCCAACCCTCATTGTGATTATTTGTCTCGTCAACAATGAAGTTGTAATCGTGACGATCAAATGCTCTAACTCGATGAGAGGCCGCCTTAGCAGTTTTATCCTTCATATATTTCATACATGATTCGCTGAATATTTGCCCTGATTATAAAACAACGCTCCATTTTTTGCCTCTTGCCGCAAAAAGTGACCCCAGTCTATAATAAGTTGCTCTTACCAACACAATGATGGAGAGGTTTCTAATTCCCTTAAATACGTTGTTTAGAGATTCCACAAGGTTTGTGGTCATGTGACCCCATCGACATCCTCCATCAAAATCCCTTGTCCATTTCTCAACTAGAATGTTATCCATCCGGCTTAATGCTTCCGCACTTGACAATCTTATTTCTTCGCGGTAATACATGAACCATGGTTGGTTTAATGCATACTCAGCGTTCATAACTTTTTTACGAAGATTTCTGTCTTTGATTTCCTGCATAAAATTCTGAGCAATGTGTCTTATGCAATAGACATGGACAGAAGGAGGATTGTGCCAACCATTATCAGGATTGTTGTAAGTGCTCATAATAGAGGCATGTCTGTCGGAAATCAGACATAAGTTGGGTTGAGGAGCGACATGTGATCTGAGATTTTTGAGGAAGAAACTCCAAGCTTCACCTGTCTCACCCTCGACCAGAGCAAAGGCAATCGGAAATATATTATTATTTTCGTCGTGCAACCGCCATCAGCAATGTTCCTTTGTATTTTCCATACAACCATGTTCCATCGACTTGAATAACCGGTTTGCAGAACGCAAAACCTTTGATACACGGTTGAAATGCCCAAAAGAGGCAAAAGAATATCCTACTTCCATTAACACATGTTCCTTCAGGAGTGTATGCTGGAAGTGACTCCAATATTACAACTGTACTAGGAACATATTTTTAAAGTGCTAGCAAATACTATGGAAGTTGATTGTAAGATTTTTACCAATTCCCATATACATGTTCAACCGCTTTCATTCTTGCAATCCAAGCTTTCCTATACAATGGGGTATAGTTGAACCGTGCAACAACATGAGAGATAATTGTGATCACCTTCACAGATGGAGCTACGCCCATAAGATGCAAAATCTCTTGGCATATTAATTGGGAGCTTAGTTTACCATGATCTTGCCGATTGATGTTGGTTGTGCAACTATGAGGTGGATCCATCGAACCTATCTCCCAACAATCACTTCTTTTCCGATAGGATGCTGCTAACCGAAAGTTGCAATGTTCGTTACGACAAACTACGACATAGCGTTTTGAGTCATTCTAGTTTACTTAAAATTAACAAAGTCATCCATGTGAAACTTTATTATAGCTTTCATGCACTCTGCTTTTGTGCGGTACTGGTTCCCCACTTTCAATACACCTTCGATTTGTTGAGAAGGATTGTAGAAAAAATATAAGGAAGGCTCGTCTCCACTCATTTGCAAGTTAGTCATGTGTTGGAAAGGACAATACATATGACTTAATGGTAATGCCTTTTCATCTATGTCTTCAAGTGGAGTTATTACGGTGTAGTCCCCAGTCCCGAACAAATTCACCATTTGATCAACCATGGCCTCAAGTTCTTCTTCCTTCTTGTCTACAACATTAACTTCATTTTGTTCCAATGTCTGTGACTGATCTATTACCTGAGATTCACCAAACATTTAGGATTGTTGAGTCTGGTAGAGTAAGAGATACAACTCGATATAGTCGAATCCAAAGTGTTCATGACTATCAAATATTTGTTGAACATCGTTATCGTCCTGTATATTCTGTTGAAAATACTTGACCTGACTATTTTAAAAGAAAACGGGACTTCTGTATATGATTTGAGAGATTGGACCAAACAAAATCTTTGACTCTATTCGCTCTTTGAAATGCAAAAAATTTGATTTTCTGCTCATTGTTAATCGGGTAACATCAGTATTTTGAAACTCAAAACCGGAACTTTCAGAGAAGTATGTGTCTCCATTAAAATGAGCATGAATAATATAATTTGTTGTTCTAGACATATTTGCATGTATTGAAATTTAGTTTAGATGATATTTACCGTCTTCAATGTATACTAATATATAATAAACGTATTAGAATTAAATATTATTAAATCTTAAAAGGGTGGCGCCATGGTGTATGGTGTCCCTTCATTAAATTTAAAGGGTGGCGCCATAGGGTATGAAGTCCCTTCATTAAGTTTCAAGGGTGGAGCCATAGGGTATGAAGCCTCCTTGAAAATGTGTACGAAAATTTAACACCATGTCGCCATTGCCTATGGAGCCTCCTTGGAAATGTGTACGAAAAGTTAATTTTGCATGCATGCAATCTGCCAAGTGTGGAGGATTTTCTACAAACTTCATCTAACTGTAGCACCCCAAAATTTGGCCAACCTCTTTTTGCATCTGGCTTTTGTTTCTTTGCATTTTCGCATTTCTGCATTTGCATAGCATTCGTCCTTGAGACAGGGGATCAAGGTTTTCTCGTGGCTCAGTTTTCGTCTCAGTGCATGAACCTGAACAGCGAGTATCAGAGGCTCTGGCATTTATTTTGCCCAGTGGTCGGGCGACCGATTTTATTTTATTTTGCAGGGTATTTTCAGCTCAGAAAGCAGCATTCAGACTATCACAAGCATTTTCATGGTTATAATATTCAAGAGTAAGTTTCAGAAGCTTAATAGGGCTCAAAACAGTGGGAAACAAACAAACGGGCAGATTTCCCTCCAAAAGGCGCCAAAATCCAAATTTTGAAGGTGTTAATCGATTAACGCATATGGTTAATCGATTAACTAAGTCAAAATCAGGTCAAATCTGAAGTTTTGAAGGTGTTAACTGATTAACCTATATGGTTAATCGATTAACCAGTGCAGATTTTGCCTCTGCACGTGAATTTTCAATTCAAGTTATTTTGGGGTCCAATTTTGGTCATGTGCAAGTATGATTTTAACTTTTGGAAGGATCTAGAACCTATTTGAAATTTGGTTAATTTCATTTTCCCTCCAAATGCCCATTCCTCATTCCAATCCAAAATTTCCAAACCATATTCCAAACCTTTCATTTGGATCCAAGCCTAAATGATATTTAAGTGATCCACTCCAAACCTCACACATCTAATCACTCATAATTCTCTCATTTTCAGAATTGATTTCATTCTCTCTCAATTCTCCCTTAATTTTTCAATCTCCAAAACCTTCA